TGTACATAAAACCCCAGGAAGCTCAGAGAATTCCAAAAATCAGGGATCCGAAGAGGCCCACACCAAGACACATCATAATTAAAATGCCAAAGGTTAAATACAAAGAAAAAATTTTAAAAGCAGCAAGAGAAAAACAAATACTTACATATAAGGGAACACCCATATGACTGGCAGCTGATTTCTCAAGAGAGACTATGCAGGACAGAAAGTCTTGGCAAAGAATATTCGAAAGAATGAAGACCCAGGATATACAACCAAGAATAATTTATCCAGCAAAGCTATCATTTAGAGTTGAAGGACAGATAAAGAGCTTCCCAGACAAAAATAAACTAAAGGAATTTATCACCACCAAGCCAGAATTACAGGAAATGTTGGAGGGACTTCTTTAAGAAGGAAAAACATGTTTCGAAAACAGGAGTAAAGAATGGTAACAACCACATTCTTATCGATAAGTTCCTTAAAGGGAAAAGAATTAAGTGCTCCTACCAAGGGATGGAGTGGCTAAAAGGATAAGAAAACGAGACTCCTACATATGAAAAGGAAGGGGATGGAAAAAGATATTGCTTTGATGGACCTAGAAGGTATTTAAGTCAGACAGAGAAAGATAAACCCTATATGATTTCACTTATATGCGGAACTTAAGGAATAAAAAGAACAAACTAATCAAAAACAGACTCACAAATATAGTGAACAATTTGGTGATGGACAGAGGGGTCGGGGGTTTGGGGAGCTGGGAGAATGGGCGAAGGGTTAAAGAAATACAAATTAGTAGCTGACAGATGGTCACGGGGGATGGGAAGCACGGCATAAGGATTGCAATTAGCATTAATACATTGGCTAGGTGGAGGGTCAGGGGTGGGAGAGAGGGAGCAATTGGGGGGATCATTTTACTAACTATATAGATGTCTAACTAATGTACTGTATACTTGAAACTAATTAAAATTTTTAAATAAATAAATAATTTTTAAAAATTTTACAAATAGCAATGATAAACTTATAGCGTGTTACCATAAATAATGTATTATATAGTCATAACTATCTTCCTCCCCCCAGAGATAGTAAGAACCGTAACACTGTTTCACACTTTTGCAAATCTGTTGAATATCTGGCTTAATCAAAGAGCTCGGTTCTCATCTCTGCTTCTGCATTCAAGCTATTACTGTACATTGTTTAAATGAAGTATAAGAAAAAAAATCTGGTCATACACAGATATGTAGATAAAAAATGGAGAAATATTTAGATTGCCTTTTCAGGTAATCACGGCTAATCTTCTTTAATGCCACATTAAAACTTCACAAGTGCTAGTTTCGTAAAGATAAGTTGCAAAATGATATCTGAAACCACATCGGCTAGATCCTCCTATTCTGATAAAACTGTTGGTCTCGTCACACTTTCAAAAGGTATTTTATCCATGTGTAAATTACAACATCCTGTGCCGGATACTTAAAAAATATCCTGAGTTACGCACAACTTCTAAATATCGCTATAGTTCATTATACAATATCCCAAAATTCACATGTATTAATGTCACTACCATTATCAGTCACCAGAAAACTCTCTTACGGCGGATAAGCTGTCCAGCTCATGGTGGTAGATACCAGTGCTCTGGAATTCTAATGTTTGCTTGAAAACTCCAATTTTATCACTGGCAAGAAATGCTGAAAGTTTTGTTGCGAAGTTGCAGGCTCACTTTGTTCATTTTCAAGAAAACGTCTGTCGAATGTCCAAGTCTGAAAACCATGTGTGTTTCTCGGTCAGTCTTTCAATTAAAAATGGTGTTCCATGAAAAAAAAAAAAAAATGGCTAGTTCATCCCTCCACCCAAACAACTGCAGGGGCGTTTTCCTCAAGACACGGTCATTCTTCGCTGGGCGGAAGAAGCGTTTTACGAGTCTTCCTGGTTTTATCGCCCAGTCACATGTATCCTTTGTCAGTATTTCACATTAGAAAGTTTTCCTGCTTCACCAAGGACATTCTTAAGTAAAACCAACGGTTTTCTTTTCCTGCTGCAAGCGTGTATCAGTGAGGAAAATCATGACCATAGAGATAGTTTTGGGCCGCTGCCTTGATTTGTAGTAAGGTATCAAAAGTTTCCCCACCTACTGTCTTTG